GACTTCAGCAGGGGGGGCTTCAAGAAATAAAGGTTGGGAACCACTGTTCTGGAGAACCAGGAGGCTATCGAGGCTACACTGAGCAGACACAAGCACAAGCTGACTATGCGGACCACATCTGAGAGGGACTAACTTCAGAGGCTGAAAACCATCCTTGAACCATGCAGGTAAAAGCTTACAGACATGCACACACACAAAATGTCTCTTTTTTTATTCATCGAAATTTACAGTATTTTATTTAGCAAATTGTTTAAGTAGGCTAGGCTACTACTATGACTGATATAGCCAAATGCAGTGTGTGCATCTCCTTGCAGATATGTGACTGAGCTCCTTGGAGGTGAAACTTATGTTTCCTGCTCAACATAGCTTCAGCATTAGACCCACGCTTCAAGGACTTGAAAAAGGAGATGGAGAAGCAGTGTGGACCAGCCTTCAGGCTCTGCTGGAAAATAAACCCAGTACAGCTACCCCAGAACCTGTAGAAAAGCCACCGGAAAAGAGAAGCCTCCTTCTCTTTGCTTCAGATACAGACTCAGATGATGACATGGTGGAACCAAGCAGGGCTCTGAACCACTACAAAGCAGAGCCAACCATTAGCATGGAGGAATTCTGTCTGCAGTGGTGGAAAACTCATGCAGGAGCCATCAACAGCTGTCTGTCCTGGCTGCCCCTGCAAGATCTGTTCCTTCTGAGAGACTTTTTTCACCTGCAGGTAACATAGTCCAAAATAAGAGGGCAGCCTTGAGCTCTGAGAATGTAGAGAAGCTAGTTTGTCTCAGTGAAAATAGAGGTGAGGCAGATGTGTCCATTACGATTTGAAAAATTGTTGCTTTTTTATTTTTATGGTTAAAGGGCTAGTTTTTTTATTGAAAGTTTATGCTCAACTATATTGCACTGTGTGACGTTCTGGCTCCGCCCACCGGCCAGCCACCGGTAATCAGCGGCATTGGCCGCACCTGCCATGGGCTGCTCTTAAGCCCCACTCTCGCATTCACCGTTGCCAGAACGTCTCTATCCTAATGTGCGAGTCTTCCAGCGTTGTTTCTGCCTGCCTGCCTGTTACGTCTGTTTCGTCCCCGACTCCGAGCCTGCCTGCCCCCCGTCTGATTATCCTGCTTCGCCTGAGTTCTGCCTGGTCTGACTCAGTGTTCTGCCTGCCTGCCTGTGTCCCCGACCCAGCCTGTCTGACTCCGCGCTCCCGTCTGATCCCTCTGGACTGTCTCCCCGGCCTCGACCCCTGCTCGCCCCTGGACCCCCGTTTGGATTACCCTTACCGGATTATTCTTGGACTGACTCCCTGTTGCCGACCTCGCCTGCCTGACCACCCTCTCTGGTTTGTTCTGTCTAATAAACCTTTCGAACTGACCGTTTGCCTCCGGGTGTTTTTGGGTCCGCTCGCTCGTACATTACACTATGTTAAAGTTTTGGTCTCTGTTGCCTGAACTTATTTATGGCACATACAGGAGAAAAAGTGTTGATATTGAGGGTGGTGTTCATTTATTTTCATTGTGTCCCCCACGACACTGTGTGCCACATATGCCACAAAGACACATGTTAAACCTCTGAAGGCATGAAATGTGAATAAAAGAGCTTTTTAACTTTAATGTAGCTAGTGCTGATTAGTCACTGAATCATTTAAATTGAAATATTTAAAATACTTTCACAGCAAAAGTGATATGCGATTAATTTAGATTAATCGATTGACAGCTATAATAAATATATAAAACCTGACACTAAGTCAAAATGACTCCTAGCTCAAAACATGACA